TTCTGGCAAGTCTCATCAGGAGAGTCCTAGAGCAAAAAAAAGGGAAATGTGGCTTTCCTTTTGCAGTCACTGAACTGCCCCAGACCAACCAGCATTGGCTAAAGGCCTCTCAAGAGAAAACTGGGAATACTGGTGCAGCTAACTGGAACACTCTGCACACACCCTGCTGGTCTCACATTGTGCAATTCCATATAAATGTGCTTTATGTTCATGGACAACCCTGACCGCTTCTCCTTGTGCTTGATGGAAAGGAGCAAGAATCAGCAGAATTACTGAAATTGGGGTTCTGAATTGGGAAATGGCTGAAAGTCCCTTCCAAAGAATGGAAAGTCTTAGATGAGGAAAACTTGGAATTGCTCTACTCCTCATGGACTGGATAGAGATCAAGGCAAGTGAGGAAATTCCTGAAATTTTTCCATTTCATTTATGGAGAATGAAATTTCTGGATTTCATTCCTGAAATACAGATGATTTTAGGACCCGAAATCATCTGAATGGTATAAATTGGGAGCAGAGTAAGTTCCTGATGGTCTAACTAATTCTATTTAATATTTCAAGTGCAATGGCAACTAAAGGTAGTTGTGATTCATTGTTAGATCACAAATACCTCACACAGGCATCCAGCATCTGAGCCTTGAAGCAGTTGAATCTGGTCTGATTCATAAAAATAAATGTGTTGAACCTCTGAATTAATCATTCTGTTCCTTCTCTATTTTCAAGTTCATTTGGTTTTGCTGGTTTTCGGACAATTTTCATACATTTTATTAAATGTATGACTCTGCTGCCCTGCATTGCTTTTGAGAAGTGTTTCCTTGTTCCATTCCTTTCTAAGGGAGTTTTCCAAGGAAAATCAACACCAGCCCAGGTGCTTGGCCTGGATTTGGGGACCCTGGGCTTGGCCTGGTGCAGTGTCTGCAGCAGGAGGTGACACCTGGGGAGGGAACCTGCACCTCCTGCATGGTTTCGGTGTCTTAATATGATTAAAGGATAAATAATACCAAATGTTTCCTTAATAGGAGAAAATACCCAGCATTGACAGTAGTGATTAAGTTCCATTAAACAGTTGTTAGTTTGGACACCAGGTGATTAGTACATCCAAACCACTTCATTTCCAGACTTTGGCACCTTGCTCATTACTAACTCAAGCCATAAAGTTCAGTGAATCAAGTTGTAAATAGTTTTATTGGTCCCATGTTAGAAAAAAAAAATAAAATTGAGGGTTGTGAAATTCCTGGATGATTTCAAGTTAGGTATTTCTTAAGTCCTCGTGTTTCTGCTTTCTGTTCTTTAGTTATTCATCATTGCAGAGGATTTAAACTCTGTTTCTGCTTTGGCAAGCACTAAATCCAATGGGCTAGTTGAGAGTTGTGTTCCTAAAATAAAATAAACCAAATGGAGAGAGGGCTGGAGATGCACTCAGCTGCCAACATGCCATAGTTATCCAAGGGAGGAATTTCCTCAAGGACACCAGAGGAGCAGCTTTTACAGCTCCTGGAGAAAGGTCCACAGTTACCCACATGCTGCTAATTATTGAATAAAACACAGAACCTCATGTTTCTGTTTCTTTGCTGAAAACAATTCTCACCTCTTTGAGAATTATTTCACGTCCATTTTATGATAAGGTGTCCTTCCAAGTAGTTTTTGTTTATTTACTTTTATTTTTAATGAAAGTTTAGGAATTGAGCTGTACGTCCTGACTTATTTCAAGATGTCAGTCCTATGCAACAAGTCTCATTTTAATACCTCTTAAGTGACTGGGAGCAAATTTTTGGTTTCTCCAAAGCAATTTGAGGATTAGAAAGATGTGCTGGCTTCATCCTGGTTTAGCTTTCAAATTGCCATGTGTCCTGTTAAGTCTGTTTATGATTTCAGTGACCCTTGCATCACTCCCATGCCACTTTACAAATTGCTGCCGAGGTGTTTATGGCCAGGTTTCTTTCCCAAATGTAAGCAATTTTTTTTTTTTCAGGAGCCTGCCCAGAAACCATCAGCTTTTATGGTGTGGTCACAGAAATTGTGTGTTTTTAGCAGGGCAAGGCCTCCCTGCTCCCTCAGAGTGCATGTGTGTGCCTGCAGAAGCTGTGTGTGTGTGTGCAAGGCAAGGCAGGACAGCTCCATAACTGCAGGGAGAATCAGGAGGTGACTCCGAGTCACCCACTTACTCACTGCTGGAAACCTGTGTTTTGTGGTTTTGCAGAGCAGTTTTTTAGGCCAAGGCAGGCAAAAAAAAAAAAGGACACGGGTCCCCTCCTCGTTACAAAATTTATCACTTGTGGAAAAGCAAACTTGGTGTCAGCTGGGAGATGAGGAGCTGCAGTGGGAATCCCAGCTGAGCACAGCAGGTGCTGAGCTGGCAGTTTCACAGCAGATTGTGAAATTTGATCTCACAATGGGAAATGGAGCCACTCCTTGAGGGCAATATCTGGAAACATAATGGGGAACCACCCTTCAAAGGTGATCCGGGTAATAATGGGGCTTAGAAACACTTTCTACCTGCTTTGCTTAGAAAATTATGAAAATTTTTAATGGTGTTACTGGTTTTTGCACAAGCACACTATATTTAGCTGTACCTCGACTGGTCCTGAGCTCAGACACACCCAAGGCAGGAAACTGCCCAGTGCCACCACCACTGCAAGGTGGAAACTGGTCATGGGATTCTCAGTGATCCCTGTGTCCTGTTTGTTCTTCTCTCTTCTCTTCTCTTCTCTTCTCTTCTCTTCTCTTCTCTTCTCTTCTCTTCTCTTCTCTTCTCTTCTCTTCTCTTCTCTTCTCTTCTCTTCTCTTCTCTTCTCTTCTCTTCTCTTCTCTTCTCTCTTCCTCCAGATTTCCACCCCTTGTTTTTTCTGGAATTTGGGCGTTTTTACACCCTCTGAGTAACTTCCACTGCAGATAAATCTGGTAAATCTGTGCTCAGCCATGCTAATGAAGGTGGAACACCCAGCATTAATGCATTGGCCCCATGACACTCTCTGCTACTTGATGTCTCCCTCCTTTCTTCTTGAGATTGGCATAAAGATTGCACCTGTGCTCCTGCAGGTACTTTATGCACACCACAGCCTCTGAATAATGTAGACTAATAGAAAGGACTTCAAAGAACCATAACACAGTTTAAAAAGGGCTGGAAGGAGAGGCCAATGGGAAATGTTATAAGAATTCCACCTTTCCTGCTTAGCTAAGCAGTGATTTAGGAGGACATGTAAAGTCTACAGGAGAATTTCAAAGAAAACAAAAAGCAAACAAAAGCAGAGCACACTGCCTTGATGCTGGAGACAAAGGGAGGGAGAAGGGAGAGGCTCTCAGCAAATCATCTGCTCCAGTTTGGCATTTTTAAGACAGAGGGTGAGCAGAGTAATGAAATATTTAGAGAGATTTGGGTGTTATTTGATAGAGGTAAAAGCAAAGGGAAAGGAGAGTAGTGTAGCAGTGACCTGAGCAAGTCATTATGTGATTGAAATCTGTTACCCAGGAGCTCATTAGCAGCAGAGAATAAATGCCTTTCCTTCTGGAGCTGTGGATATTCTGCTGGATCTCTATCTCACATCAAATTAAAACTCTGTCAAAGCCACAGGAGGATTAACACCACCAGGCTGTTCTTTCCAAGACAGAGATTTCCACAACCACTGGAACCATCAGTGCTGAGGAATTAATGACCAGCAGACACCAGAATTATCTGGATCTTTGGAACTGGAAAAAAAAAACTGCAGCAAGTCAGTGAATTTTGGACATTTTATGAATCAAAATTACACTGCATGCTGCCCCCTCATCTCCTAATAATTAGGGTAGAGAAAGAAAAAAGAAATATTTTGAGGAGAACATTCTGTTTTACAGTGAAATTCCCTCATTTTCACTCTCATGGAGCCAGCGTGGAGATCCCACCAGAGTGGGATTCCAGAAATGCACTTTGTGCACAATTGAAGCAGGAAACAACAGAACAAAGGTTTCAGAGCAAACTTCAGGGGCACTCATTGAGCAACTGCTCTGCCCAAACCCAACCTCATTTATGGCACCAAGAGATGGTTTTGGCAAAGTGCTTCTGGACATTTTTCAGTTTGGTCATTAGGAATTTATCTGCTACTGAAAGTCAGCTCCAGCAGAATAGGGATGAGATATGGAACAGGATTACATAATAGGCTTTTACAAAGGAAAATCTTGGGCTGCACAGTCCAAGAAAATTTGACTCAGTAATAACAACAACGTAATTACTACTTTAAAGATAAGAGAAAATCAGCTATGCTGATTTCTCTGATTATTTAAAGATATTGCAAGTGAGAACATGGTCAAGCAGTTGATACCTGGAAGACAGAAGCAGTGATTTATAATTAAAAAAAAACCTCTAGAACACAGGGGTACATTAAAAAAACCCTTTAATTCAGTCATACATATTTTAGGACACAGGAAGTCTCTCTCTTTCAAGGAAATGCCTTCCCATGAACTTGCAGGCTGTAATCTGACATAAATAACACGGGGGAGGATGTTCTGGGAGAAAATTCATCTTTTACATTCCTAACAAGGGGACTGCAAATAAATATATTTCAAAATAGGAGGGGCTGACAGTGCTTTTTCTGTGATCACACAACACACAGCTTGCTGTCAGTGCCCACAGAGTATAAAACACCTTGAACATTTACACATATACAGGTGGAGAGCTGTGCACAAAATCAGGAGCTCAGAGTCTCTCTCTCCTTCCTTTTCTCTATTCACACCTCTCTCTTTTTTTCTTGCTGCAGATTTCAGACTTACTGGAAAAGCACTGGGGGCAAACACCCCTGCAGAGGCAGAAAACCTAAAGGTGGGAGGGCTGGAAAGCCAAAAACCACCTCAATCCTCCTGCTGGGGTGACAGAACCCAACAGCAACCAGGCGATTTCCCTGCTGGTACCGTTGGGAGGGTTTTGCTTGTCCTTTTGCACAGAACAGGCTTTTCTCTAAAGCTCTGTGGGTGAGAGCCCTGCTCTCCTCGCAGCTCTGGCAGGAGCAGTCCTGGCCCTGTCCCCTGCCCAGGTCACAGGCAGGTCCCTGTCCTGTTGGCCCACGAGGGGAAGGTCTGCAGCTGGAACAAGGATGAAGCCCAGGTGTTGATGGCCAGGGTGATGGTCAGAACTCCCAGAATGTTGAGTACAACCCCAGCTTTGGCCTAGAATCGGAAAGGAGAAGGGTTGTTAGCAGCCCCGAGCACTTTTTTTCCTTCCTTGATGGTTAGGATGGTTTGCATGGTTTGATTTTGTCTTTGGTGGTCTTTTTCACACCTCCACCAAATTCTATTTAAGTTGGTTTTCTTCACAAATATAATTTGTATAAAGGGAAAGGTTTCCATTGGATAAAACCCTTAAAACTAGAAGTCCCAAAATTCTTTTAATCCACTTCTCTTCTGACCTGGTATTTCTCTCTAATGTTACTTTGGGTTTCTTCTTGGATCAATTATAAGTTAGGGAAGTTATCAAGAGACATGGCACTGCTGTCCCTGCATCTTTAGTGACTTCTTGAGGCATCAGGGCACCCAGTGAGCCATGTCAGGCTGTTCCCTGTCCCTGCAGAAGGACTGCCCAGGTGACAGGGCCCTTGGACACCCTCATGCTCTACATTTGGGTTTTTCCAAGCAGTTAGGCATTGACAGCTCTTTTTATAAAATCTTCAAGAGGTCCTGGCTGTTCTTTAAAGGCTCATTAGCACCTTTCTAAGATTCTCAGAGTGTATTAAAGACAGTGTGACCCTTTATTAATGCACACACATCTTCTTTCCACTTGACATAAGCCGGGCACGCTGACTTTTCTAACTCTCCAGGAAGAACAAGAATTAGGAAAAGATCGAACCTAGGGGTGAAAATTCTGGGAAAAAAGTGTTTGTTTGTTTGTTTGTTTGTTTTTCTCACCATATCAATAACCCTGAGCTGTCCATAGGAGAAGACAATGGCATTGGGAGGAGTTGCCACGGGGAGCATGAAGGCCAGAGATGCAGAGAGTGTGCAGGGCAGCATGACATAGAGAGGGTTGAGGCAAATTGCTTCAGCCTGTGCACAAAAAGAGAGCAGAGATGATGGCTTTGACACCCAGAAATGCACAGAAATCTGGTTGCATTTGTCCATGTCAGAAGGCTCATTCTTCCCCAAACACTGCAGCCACTCATATTTTGCTCCTGTTTCAGACACTTCCAGCATATTTACGCAGCAAATGCAAGAATTGATTTTGTGGTCAGGGCTTTGTATAAATGGATAAATAATGCTTATATTCAGCTCTAGACCCTGGCTTTGAATTGGTTAAGAACAAAATTAAAGTACCAGGGGAGGCAGGTGAAGCTCTGGAGGTGAGAGCTTTGGTTTAGGGGCTGGCTGGAGTCTGTGGCCTATGCAAAATGATTTTGGAGGAGCTCATTCCAGTTTCTGTCTGGAACCAGCTTTTCAGTTTGCAGAACTCTGTCTGCCCCAGCAGCAGGAATCTCCTGTGGAAATGCAGAAGTCTGAATTAGGTCATGCTACCACCTTCAGAGACTTCTGCAAGGCCTTGGTGGGGGTGAAATACAGTCATGGAATGTTGCAGGCAAGGAAATGCTGCTGCTGCTGCTGTCTCTGTGCAGAACAAATTGGAAAAAACAAGTACAGCTGGCAGTGACCTCATGTTTAGGCCAGAAGGCAAAGTCTTCATATGCCAGTGAATTTAATCCCTTTGCTTTTCCCCAGCAATGGTTCCATAAAGGTTGAACACACACATAGGTGTGTGTGTTCCTGTGTGCACACACAGATTTTTGTTTCAGGTCTGGTACCCCTGATGGGATACAGGAACCACTGCTTGGCTTTGCCAGTAAAATTGATCACTTTAATTTTGGCAACTGAGGAGCTGAAAGCTGTCCTTACAAGAGTATTTTGACATGCTGGGACTCACCATAGAAGCCAAAATGGGCAGGAAGAGGGTGGTGGTGGCCACGTTGCTGGTGCACTCGGTGAAGGTGGCGATGAGGAGGCACAGGAGGAAGGCAATGGCTGGGTGAGGGATGCTCTGCAGAGGGGTCAGCTTGGTGCCCAGCCATGCAGACAGACCAGATTCCTGCAGCAGAGCAGAGAGGGATGCCAGGTTGGAGAGGGGAGAGCCACATCAGTGTTCTGGGGCAGTTCTCATGCCTGTTCAGCCCTCCCTTCTCAGAGCAGTTCTCATGCAAACTGCAGGAAAACACAGCCAGTGCTCACAGACAGGATTGTCCAGTCAGGTAAACAAAAATATCCCAACATTATTTCCCACCCAAGGAACTGGAGAGTAGGAGATCCTGCATTTATATTGCATTATTGACAGCAAATAATTATTTCTCTGTTCAGATCATTACTTGCACATGATCATTATTTGAGGTGCTTTTTTATATATAAGCAAAGATATTTGAATTAATTTCCTAAAATATTTTAATATAAATCTTATCAGATGCTGTAGTGATTTAATGTCATTTCATCACATTGTCTGAGATCTTGATAACTGCCTGAATCTTTTCACACCCTTCATCCTTGTCAGTCACTGGGAAGTAGCAGCATCCTCCCTGTCATTCTGGGCTTTCTGCAGCAGCTTTTATGTATTTGGTTAATTATTCTAGGATAAATTAAAGTGATTTCCCAAATATTTCTTTTTCCAAACATGTACTTTTCCATTTTAATGCTCTTTGATTTCCAAACTAGTATGTCTAAGCACTTGAAGCCTTTTAGAATTTCTTTATTGCTTATAGATTTAATAAATGGATTGTGTGTTCCATCACTTAAATCATTACTGAAAAATAATGCGTGGCATGGGACCTGAAGTTTCTCTAGCAAGCTCTACATTTCTCTTCTAATACTTGAATTTAAATCCTACTTCCATAAATCCTTGGTTTGAAATACTTTGGAGACCCCTCCTGGGTGAATCATCTCATTGTGCTGGCTGCATCAATCACATTTTATTTAAAAGAACCTTTAACATGTTGGGGGCAGTTTCTTAATCAGCCAATTTTCCAGAAACACAGTTAATGGTGCTGCCCTGCTTGGCACGGGGAGCAAGCAGGGTGTGATGCCAGCCCTCCAAGGCTGGTCCCAGTGCCAGGAGCTGGGTGAAAGGAGCGTTTGATGCTCCCGGTGTGCCCTCTGGTGTCCTGGGAGAGCAAGAAGAGCAAGGTGGAGAAGGAGCCAGCCAGGAAAACACAGATCACAGGTGAGCTGAGGGATGTTACCTCACTGCCTTTGGCCAAGGCAAAGCCCCCTCCCAGCAGGAACACGATGTTCCAGGGCATCTTCTCCTGCACCACCTTCCAGTCCAGCAGGGGTGGAGGGGCACGGAACTTTGCCCTGCCCCCTGGAACCCAAAAAGAGATTTTGTGAAGCCACAAAAATCCCCAAGGAAAGGGAGAACTTCTTGGTGGGAGGTGAGTTTGGTCTGAACTTCAGGAATCCCTTCTGTCAGCAAACTCTGGAATTATCTCCCGAAGCAAACGCTGGGAGCACCAGCAACAATGCTTTTAAAAACTTGACTTGTAAAAGCTCCAATGAATGATCTGTAGCTGCTCCAAGAAGCTCAGTAGGTGGCAGGGAAGGGTGAGTTAAAGGTGTGGCAGGAGCTCTGTGTGTTTCTGTTAAGTTGTGTGTTCCCTCCTGAAGATTCCAGCTTGGAATCCTTTACAAATGGGAATAACAGGGCCAGGAACACTGCTGGGATAAGAGTTTCCTGATTAGTTGATGAGAAACTGATTAGTTGATGAGTTCCTGATTAGTTGATGAATTTCCTAATAAAATGATGAGAAACAGAATTTTATGCAATATGTGCTTTGCCAAACCTAAAGCACACAGCTGGAAGAGCACTTTGAAGTGTTACTTGATATTTGAAATTTCCTTTGTAAACCCAAAACGTAAACATTTCCCACACACCTATTCAGACAGCAGATCTGTGGTGCTTCAGTGACTCACCCGTTTGCTCTTGCTCTCTGTCCCGGTTGGAAAAGCCAGAAGGGAGGATGAAGAGCAATATTGAGATGAAGAGGGCGACTGTGGCATCAGTGACATAGCTGCAGGAGAGCAGGCAGGAATTCATTCAGCTGTGATTTCAGCTGGGTAAAATCCAGCCTGTTCCATTTGTGTTCCCAGTGAGGAGGGGAAGGGGCACTACCTGTTATTATCTTTGTTGAAGAGAACTGTTGCCCAGCCTGGGATGAACCCAGGTTCTCTTGTAAACCACAACACCACCAGGAGAACGAAGAGGATTGAAACTTCTATTTCTGCAAAGCTCATTTTGCCCAGTTTCTTGCTCTCTTCCTTGATGATTTCATAGGCCTGTTTCTCCTTAGCCTTGGCAGCAGGACTGGCACCACAACCAAAATTCTTCTTAAAACTAGAAGAAAGTAGATGAGAAATGTCAGAGAAATTTGCCAGCTATCCAGAGAGTTAAAAATCCAAATTTTATACTCAATCATAATGTCTTTGTATGTATTTATATATGAATATTGAAATTAAATATATTATAATTTGCAACCATGGTGAGTAGGAGCTGCATGTCTTGACAAGATGATCAGAAAGACAAGATGATCTTGTCCCTAAAAGCTCATTACTTTAATGTAAAGAAGTGAGATACATGGGCATGTGAGGAAAAAAAAATACAGAATCACAGGATGGTTTGTGTTAGAAGAGACTCTAAATTCCATTTCATTCCAATGAATGGGCAGGGATACCTTCCACTAGACCAGGACAATGTTAATGTGACTGGCAAGGCTGTTTGATCAGCTTACTAGGAAGTAAAGAGTTGCCAAGCTTTTTAAAATGACAGGAAATGAGAATTTTAAAGGAGGAGTTTGAAGGTGAAAAAGCATTTCAGGTGTTACAGCACTCTTTCCTATAAAATGAGGGAAGTTGGGATAACACAAACATGAAAAGCTGAGTATTAAACAGGCAGGAAATGCAGGCTGGTTGTGTGGGGTGATGTGCTCCAGAACCAGCCCAGAACTAATCCTCTAGCTCTGAAGCAACCCTGGTCACAAAGGCATTTACAGCTCTCTGTAGAAATCAATTTCCTGCTTTGGAGCACAGCAATCTCCTAGGACATGACAGCAATGCTGCAGAACAGGTCATTCATGTGCACTCACAGCTCCCTGTTTTCATCTACAGGGTACATTTAGCTGGGATTTAATCAGATTCCTTAAAAGAAAACTTGCAGAATTTTAACAGGCACCGAATGCTGTTCTGGTCTCTGTTGTGTGTCAGGCAGGACTTTGCCACCTTCTGAGTGATTTTTCTCATCAATAAAGGGGTCACTGGTGTTGGACAAGTGCTGATCAAAGCCTCCCCAGGTGCATGGCAGGGGCTCAGGGTACTCACTTGAAGCCCAAGTACAGGATCTGCAGCCAAATCCAGGCCAAAATCAGCAGCACCAACATGGTGGGGAAGGCGAAGGAGAACCAGGAGGCAAAGTTGATGATGCCACCATTGTCTGGATAGATGCTGGAAAATGCAGGTGGCTGTTAGCATCCAAAATTCCACACTCTCTTCTGAACTTCATGAATGGGCCAGAAAAGGGGAGGTTCTGTGGGGCCCATTAGGGAAGAGAAGCTCACATCCCAGGAAAGGGACCAAAGTGACATTTTCCTTCTCTGTGCTGCCTGGGAGTCAGCTGGAGCAGAATGCTGCGGTTTGGAGGGTGTTTAATCCCAGACTTACTCATTAACTTGTCCTTGCAGCACCAGATTTGGGGTTGTCCCAGTCAGAGTGGCAATCCCTCCAATGCTGGATGAGTAACAAATACACAGGGACATTCCCTTGGACAGCTTCAAGTGTTTCTTCTCAAGCTCTTCATTTCTCTTTCTCTCTTCCTCAACCACCAGGACATGAGAATTACCTAGATCCCAAGGAACAGAAGAGCTGCAGGAGCTATGTTGGACAGGAAAAGGCCTCGGGCCTACAGAATTTAATATTTCAAGGCAGGGACACAATGGATTCAAAGCTGAAGGAACCAAAGTTCCTCCTTTTAAGGCTGGCATTGTTAATTTGTTGATCTTCTGCCCATTTTCACTGGTTGTCTTGGCACAGAGCAGTTTTTCAGAGGGGAATTTGAAATGTGTGCTGAAGTTTGACACTTCCTTATGAATGAGGGCAATGTCTGAACTGCACATGGAGGGGAGTGAGGCAAGAATTCAGGGAATTGTAACAGAGTTGGAGGAGCTGGGCTAAAAGGAACTTTTTCTGCACCAGCACCTGTCTGCTGGCACTGAGATTTATGCTCAGAAACTCTGGAATCACCTCAAAAATGGGGAGAGGGCAAGACAGCTGGTAAAGAGATATTGTTGCTTGATTGTGTACCTTCGGATTAGAAAGATCTTTTTAATCCCTAACCTTCTGTCTGGAAATAGGCCAGAAATTTTGCCTTGGGAATCCCCTATGATATGATAAGTTACACAGTAGATAATAATTGAACAAACATAAATATGCAGGGAAATAGCAAGCCTGATATAAAGTCTTTCCCTAGTCTAGAATTTTAAATTTTTGTCAGTTTGTGGAGTAGTTATAACCTTTTTGTATTTTTGATTTAACTCCAGCCAATCCAGAATAATAATAACAATAATAAAATATTATCCATAATAATAATAATAACAATAATAAAAATTGTGGTTTTGTCTGGCTCATGGAAGAGCCTCATCAGGGCCGTGTGGTGCAGTCAGGATGCTTTGGGGACAGTTTTCTTTCAGGATTTACTAGGACCTGCTACGACAGAAGAAAGGCCATCCTCCATCACTGAAGAAAAAACCACCCCCAACCCATTCACCTTTTTCCTCTGGCTCTTTCAAGCTGTCAGGTGCCTTTTCCTGCAGCTCAAAGGCTTTGTTGGTGTGTTCAGACACTTGGTCAGTGGTGCCAGACTCTGCCTCTGACTTGTGCAGCTGCTCCATCACAGCCTGCGCAATGGGGACCATCATGGCAGTGGTGGCTGTGTTGCTGATCCACATGGACAGGAAAGCTGTCACCACCATGAAACCCATCAGGAGTCTGCAATGAGAAGGTTTGGAAAAGCTGGATCAGAACCCAGCCCTGCAGTGCTCTTTATTTTTATTTCAGCTGCAAATGCTGGGTTTGGAGAATGCTCAGCAATCCCCACCCAGCATTTCCTCCTGCCCTGGTTTGCTTTGTGAGTGACCCAGTTGAGATTTAACATCAATTTCTCTTTTTCAACCAATTTTTTGACATTGTTATGGCTAAGGAAGTGGAAGCTGGTAGGTTGGAGCAAGCAGTTTATCCAGTCAGATCCTGCTTATCCCACATCATTCTCAGGAAGACATTTCTCATAACACGTGTCAATGCATTATAATAGATTTTGAAGAGGGATTACAAGCTGAATTTGATCCCAAATGGCAATCAGTTTAAGCCATAAGGAAGATGATCTCTTTTTTTCCCTCTTGTTATTTTATCCCACTGCTATTATTAAGATTCTCTTCTGACTCATCTAAAATTCTAATCCTCGTTTCAGTATTACTCTGTTATTTGTCTCAAAATTATTCTTTAGATGAGATGTAGATTATATATGAGATGAAAAGGGGTTTATCTTGTATGCATTTTTATTCTATTGCTTTGTAATTTCCTTCAGTATTCCCTCTTCTTATGAGCTGAAACTGATTAAACAGGGCGGTGTAGCCTGTGCATCGCTTAAAGTTCTAGTCTGGAAAACATTTGTTGTTTTCCAAACAAGCATCCTCATATTTTCTCTTCTCTGTGCAATCAGCAGCAGGCAGAGAGTCCATGTTCTCTGTGTTCCAGCTGTGGCTCTTCCTGACTGTCCAAAGCTGTGCTCCTGGCCCAGCCTGGCAGCACCCTTCTCTTTCCAGCATTGACTCCCTTGTTGCTATTTCTCCACCTAAAAGCCTTTTGGAATTAAAATAAAATAAAATAAAATAAAATAAAATAAAATAAAATAAAATAAAATAAAATAAAATAAAATAAAATAAAATAAAATAAAATAAAATAAAATAAAATAAAGACACACCAGGTGTGTAACACCTCGACATTTGCAAGGCTTGCTCAGGCCCTATCTCACTTGGGCTGCAGGAAAGCGTTTGCAGGGAAAGATTTGCAGATTCCCATCAGAGATGGGGTCTAATGCCATAAAATCCTTCATCCCACAGCATTTCCACCCCTGTCACTCACAGGGCTGGCCTGACACCAGTGATCAGCAGGACCCTCAGAGCCACTCGCTTGTGCAGGTTCCAGGTCTCGATGGCAATGGCCATCACCAGGCCCCCCAAAAAGAGCATGTTGGTGTCCTTCAGGTACTCCTGACACACCTGTGAGGTGGGAGAGGGGAGAGGGAAGAGTCACAAGAGAGTAGGACATTTTCTGAGGGAGTTTATTCCAAAGGCATTAGCAGGGAGTAACTCTGGGGTGCATCTGAATGGGGAATTTGCTTTGATTTCAGATTAGCAGCTCCACCCAGAGCTCACTCTGGGCTCATGCATGTTCTAGTCCATGGAGAAGACAGAGAATAATAAGAATAAAGTTAAAATATAATAATAATACTATCAATAACATAAATATAATGGTGGTCATCATGTAATCCTGGGGAACAATCCCAGAATAAAAGCAGCTGACTGATTAATACATGGAACAAGATCTCTTACTGTGGTTGAATCCATGATATTCATTAGTGGGAAGAGCAGGACGGGCAGGAGAGCTGTGACAGCCAAAGGCAGAGCTTCTGTGCACCAGAAAAGTGCCATCAGTATGATCACATAGCCACACAGTGCCTCCTGCCAGGGAAGGGGACAGAAATAAGAACATGCTGAACATTGAACCTGGGACTTCATTCAAAGCCAAGGCCTCTTAATTACATTCACTGCCTGATAAAGGGATTAGATAAAAGGTTATTTCCTGTGCTTCTCTCCCATCTAGCCTCTGACCTCTGCAGATCCTAATCAAATCTCAAACTGTGCAGCAATCTCATCAGAACTCTGAGGAGCAGATGAGACCTTCAGCGAGGGCAAAAATAGCACCAGGGCAAAAGAAGCGTGGGTGACTTTGGACTTTAATGATAAGGGATTGGCAATCACTGAATAGGCTTCTTGGTTGTGCTGATGGTGTTATATTCTGATATTCTGGTTGTGCTGATGGTGTTATATTCTGTATTTATGTCCTTGAGTTGTAGAATCAGTTGCTGATCCAGTCAAGGCTTCTCCACCTGTTTTCACACCAGCTTCAGGTCATGGCCCAGATGAACCCACAGCTTATTTCAACAGCTTGGACTCCTTGTACTGTAAATACTTTTATAACTTTTCACTGGATTTTTAGTTTAGTAGAGACTTTGAAAGGCTTACTGGCAGACTGGTCACGGATCATTTCAGCTTCCACTGACTTTATCTTTTTTGTTTGAGGAAAGTGAGATTCCCTATTTCATGTCACTCTTTTTCTGAGAAAACCTTGGTTTACTTCTGCTTTGGACGACCACTCCAAATTTCATGTAAAAATGATTCCGACAGTCCCTCTACACTGAAAAGATTCAAAATTACTTGTCACAACAGTGGCATTTGGTTAGGCTGGGAAAGAATGTCAGAGGAGGTTTTGGTGTCTTCTGTGTTTTGGAACTTGCACAATTGTGGGAGACCCCAAAGCCAAAGGAAGAAAACCATGGATGTGTGGTCTTGGATAAAGAATGTCCACTAAAATATACTGCTCAGTATGAATGAAATTGTAGTGATGCTTTTGGAGGTTGGATTACAGAGGATTAAAGCAAGGAGCTGGAATAATGGGTGGCAGGATTGAATTTGAGACTCTTGGGAACATGCTCAGGAATTCTGAACGTGGTGTGGAGGTTACAGAGCTGTGAAGAGAAAGGATGAGCAGGGAGCTGAGCAGTCTGGAGGAAAGAAGAAGACAGCAATCTAGGTGTGAATTGTCAAAGCAGCCAGGCTGAAGAAGTAAGTCTGAGAGATTCCCAAAGATACTAAAATGTTCCTTTTTGAGCCTTATTTTTGAACGAGAGCATTAAGAACCTCAATTATTCATTCCAGTGATCACTGAGATCAATTTGCCCTTTTGACAATCCTTTTTCTCCATTTTTGATATTAAAATACACAGATAGGTGCCTTTTGAGAGACCCTGGTAGAGCTTTGGGATGTATCTCATAGGCACAGTGCCATTGTCTCCCATCCTGCTGTGAACAGGCTCTCAGTCAAAGCTAGGAAAAGGGTTTTCCCAAAGTGAGCCACCTTGTAAGGACTTCTTCTGCCTTAAAGCAAGATTTTTAGCATTGTTTGCCCTCAATTATAATAGCTCAGTGTCCAGTGCTATGTCATCTTAGGGCAGGTTAATAGATGAACAGAATAGAAAAAATGTGAAATTCCACCCTGTAGCTGCTGGCTCACGCCACCAGCTTTTCCTGCTCAGCAGTGGCACAGTGCACAATTTAACCCCAAAAAACCCTTCTCAAAGGTTTCCTTAAGTGGCAAAGGGAAAGATCCTGGACGTTTTCTATTTTTGTTTTCTTGTTGCTGACTGCATAGAAACCGGAGAGAGTAATTTTCAAAGAGCAACTGAACCAAGACTGCCAAATCACTCCACAGGTAGCTCCAAGGACTCACTGTATGTAACAATGCCTCCAGTAAGTGAGTTTGAACTCACGGCCTCAGGGCAAAAAAAAAAAAAAAAAAGAAAAAATCACTCTCTGTCTCCTTAGAACTTAGAACTTTCCTGATCCTGATCTCTTTTCACTTCAGTGATTCCTTTGCCTACTGGACGTTAACTAGCAAAAAAAAGGTACTTCTTATTTTTCTTGGTTTTTGGTTGATTTTTTTGTTTTTTGCTGTTTTTTCTTTACTTCCTGGTGAGCTTTTTAAGTAATAATTTAAACTATTTTATTTACCTAGTGAGGGAATGAGAGCTAACCAGCTGTCACACTCAGAGCTGAGTTAGGGAGGGAAGGGTTAGAGGAGTAGAGAATGGAACTTGGAGAAGGAGTCTCAACTGGGAATCAGCAGGGATTGGGAGGCAGAGACCAGAGGGAAGAGGTAGGATTTGTTGTCCAAAGAGAAGTGACAGGAAGGGCAGTTTGGGATGAGCTATTTCGTGGTGCTGGGGTTGTAATAAGAGAGCAGAGATCAGATCTTTCTGCATGAAGAGGTTGGGAGTGCAAAAAAAGAGTGGAGAAGCAGCAGAAGACTGGGAGTCTGTCAGCTCACAGCTCTCTCTTTAAATGATCAATACCCCAGAAATACCAGCCCAGGTACTGCAGCTCCTCGGTCAAATTTCCTGAAGGAACCCTGAGCCAGGTCTGCCAGAACTTGGTGTTTGAAATTTAAAATCCTTGTTTGGGAGGATTCTTACAGAAATAAGTTAAAGTAAAACTGAAATCCATGTTATTTTCCCTTATGTATCAGAATGCCTTGTCTGTCTAAAAATGCCTCTTCTAAGCAGCAGTGATAACAAGGAAAAAAAATAAAAGAAGATATGGACTGAACACTGTTAGAAAATGAAAAGGGGGATTAAAATTGAGCTTTAGGTCCACAGGAATATCTTCAGCATAGAAAGTCCTCATAGAAAGTCCTTTTCTAAATCAGCCAGATGCAAAGCAAGAGTCCCAAAATCTCTCTTGGGTCACTGAGCGTTCCTCTAGAAGATGCAATCACAGATGTAGCTCCTCATCCATCTATGCCCCACTGCTGTTTTATTACCCCAATATACTCAGGAAAAAAAGAAAAAAGAAAAGAGATCTCCAAGCAGCAGATGCAGGTGCTCCGAGAAAGAACCTCTTCCCCCTCGAAAGGAGCAGCTCTGAGACGTGGAGGCTTTGAAACGGAATTTTAAAAATTCCTTACCTTGGTGGGCAGAACCAGGGGCAGAGGGAGAAACACCAGGGGTACCAGGACGATGATGAGGTATTTCCTGCAGGCCAGCACTGCCTGCCAGGAGAAAGCCATGGTGCTGGAGCTGGCCCAGTGCTGAAGGGCCTGGAATCTGCTCTCGGAGCCTATATAAACACCAGGGAATATTAACCATTGACCTCGGGAGATTGGGTGTTGTTTTTGGAACTGTAATCGGAGAAAGAAGGAAGCGAACAAAGAAGGGAGGAGACAGTAGAAGAGTGTCAGAGCAGGAACTTTCTGCAAGAGAATCTTGCTTTTATGCTTTTAAAAGTGTAGGTCATGTGAAGCGAACAAAGAAGGGACGAGACAGTAGAAGAGTGTCAGAGCAGGAACAAGAGAATCTTGCAGAAAGGTGATAAATCTGGCAGAGAATTAATTCCTTGGGGAGCAAGCAGGTTTTTGAGAAGCATGACCTACACTTTTAAAAGCATAATATTAATGATTTGCTCTTTAATAATGCCCTTTTTGAATAGGTGCTGTTATTCCTCCTGTTAAAAAAAGAAACTGCTCCGTCCAAAACAGGTTGAAAAATAATTTCAGTTTTGAAAAAATATGGGAAACGCTGAAAATGGCATCTGTAATGCTCAAATACAGGGATTAGAGACACCAGTGTAAAATAAATAAATAAAATAAATATAATTGTTCATGATGTTTATGTTTGTTCAGTGGGAAATTCACTTTGGGTAGCAAAACCCACCGGGCAGAGCTGGTGTCACCAGGTGCCACATCAAGTCCCCAAACCAAAAGGGACTGACAGGCCCTACCTTAGGTCTTAGTGGATTGGGAAACACTTGGCTACAGGAGATCTCTTTGCAGACACTGAGCTATTTTTTTTCCCCTCACATTTTTGATCTTGCAGGTTTATAGGCACAGCTTTGGGAACTTGCAGGGGGTATTGGGGGTGAGGAAAATTAAGAAGAAAAGGTGCTACAGGGAAATTACCAGTGATTCTTGTCCCAGTTGCAGGCAGCTTCCAAAATACAAGCTGTGAATCACTAGATTCTATACATTAACAGGAATAGTACTAAACATTTTAAGTCCAAAGGGTAATAAATAAATAAAAGTAATAATACGATAACAATAAAATAAATAAAATAAATTAAGTCCAAAGGGTAATTTCTTATTAATGCCATGTTGATGGCTTTATTAGATCATCCAGGTCCATCCTTCAGCTAATGATGATAACATTTCCATTTGATTGCTATAAATTATCTTGGTACTGTTTATAGCTTACTAGAGAGAGACAAAGTGAAGCACAGCCATCAGGTCATCTGATGTCAGCTCCACAAAAAGCTTCTGCTGTTTCTGCCTCTCCTCCCTTTTTTGCCAGGGCTTTTCTCTCAAGAATGTGCTAATGATGGAAAATCAGCTGCCAGATTTGCAAGCTGGACTAGGGCATATTGCTCACAACAAACAGCATCACATTTCTTGGTGCCAACCCTGAGCTTCACCACCTCACCCTTGGTACAAAAAGAATGAGAAAGAGCTTTCAAATTAATTCTGTTCCCCCATATCTTGCATCTATTGAATGTTTAATTACTGCCTGACAAGGTGCAGTGACAGCAGCCAACAGCAAGGTCATTTTTCTGCTTTTTACTCTTAAGCCCTAAGGCTGTGATGGAAATCTAAAAGAACACCTCGTTTTTGTATCTCTGCAGCACAAATGTTGGCCTCCAGCTGCAGCCTCATCTATGGAGTGTAAATACCAATGTGCCTGTCCTTTAAAAGCAGCACCTCCACAGAGATGATTGCCACTGTCATGTGCGTCACAACACTTTCAAAGATGCTAAAAATGAGTTCTAGAAGTGCTTTACTGGAAAATGAGTGGTACTGCTCCACTTTATATAAACAGGTTAAATCAATACTCTGAATTGTGTGCTTTGAATTTCAAGGACAACTTGGTCTTTGCTTCTTGATCTGCTCTTTGAGGCAGCCAAACCTCACAGAAAAGCAAACAGCACAGCCAAACCCTTCTTTATTAACTGAGTTTCTAAGTTATTTTGTCCTTTATAAAAAGCAGTATTTTCTAATGTGCTGTGAATTAATAGAAGTGATCGTATATTGCTAAATACAGTATTTTGCTGATCCTAGTGCAGTTAAAATGTTGATTTATGTTTTGCTTGGTTTGTTGAGCCTGCAGAACACTGAGGGGAGCCTTCATGGCATCCTGCATCTTCCTCATGAGGGTGCTGGAGGGGCAGGGGCTGCTCTGTCCTCTCTGGTGACCAGTGACAGGACCCGAGGGAGCAGCATGAAGGCATGCCAGGGGGCTTAGGCTGGATATTAGGAAAAGGTTCTTCACCCAGAGGGTGTTTGGGCACCAGCACAGGCTGCTCAGATAAGGGGTGGAGCCCCATCCCTGCCGGGGTGTAACTGTGTGAAGCTGTGGCACCTGGGGACACGGTTTAGCGGTGGCTTTGGCCCTGCGGGGTTAACGCTGGACTCGATGCTCTCAGAGGGCTTTTCTCGCCTCAAAAATGACAGGATTTGTGGAACATCATCCCCTGAGAGCTGCACCTTTTGCACCGGGCTCGCTGCAGCGCCAGCGCCGAGGGGTCTCGGGAACCCCCGCGGTCCCGGCGGCGGAGGGAGCGGAGCCGGTCCCGTCATGGGCACAGCTGAGCCTGAACCGTTCTGAGCGGAGCCGGTCCCGTTATGGGCACAGCTGAGCCTGAACCGTTCTGAGCGGAGCCGGTCCCGTTATGGGCACAGCTGAGCCTGAACCGTTCTGAGCGGAGCCGGTCCCGTCATGGGCACAGCTGAGCCTGAACCGTTCTGAGCGGAGCCGGTCCCGTCATGGGCACAGCTGAGCCTGAGCCGTTCTGAGCGGAGCCGTGTCAGTGCCGTCCCAAGCGGAGCCGTGTCAGTCCCGTTCCGGGCGGAGCCGTGTCAGTGCCATCCCAAGCGGAGCCGAGCCAGTCCCGTTCCGTGCAGCGCCGAGCCAGTCCCGTTCCGGGCGGAGCCGAGTGAGTCCCGTTCCGGGCGGAGCCGTTCCAGTCCCATCCCAAGCGGAGCCGTGTCAGTCTCGTTCCGGGCGGAGCCGTGTCAGTCCCGTTCCGGGCGGAGCCGTTCCAGTCCCATCCCAAGCGGAGCCGTGTCAGTCCCGTTCCGTGCAGAGACGAGTCAGTCCCATTCCAGGCGGAGCCGTGTCAGTGCCATCCCGGGCGGAGCCGTGTCAGTCCCGCTCCGTGCAGAGCCGAGCCAGTCCCGTTCCGGCGGAGCCTCCGCCCCTCCATGGCCGCCATGGCCGCTCCGCCGCCCGCCGAGCCCCCGGTGCCCCCCGGCCGGCGCCGCCTGTCGCTGCCCGCCGTGGAGCCGCTGCTGTTCCTCGCCACCGTGTCGCTGGGGCTGCAGGGCCCGCTGGCCACCCAGTACCTGTGGGACCGGCTGGGGGCCGAGCACGGCTACAGCGACCGCAACAGCACCGACTCCTCCGGCTGCGGGGACGGCAACGCTACCGCCGACCCCCTGCGGCAGGTGGGGACACCGGGGGACACGGGGGGACCGGAGAGCCCCGGGGGAGCTCTGGTGTGGATGAAGAGCTCAGGGGGAGAGCCCTGAGAGGAGGCACGGGATGGATGGGGACCGGGGGGAAAGGTGGGTCCCCGGAGGGAACGAGAGGCTCACGGTGAACGGGAGGTACCAGGGGAGCAGGAGAGGAGAGGTGCCCCGGGGAACAGGGAGCCCCAAGGGGAACAGGGAGCTTGTGAGGAGCTGGGAGTCCCTGGAAGCAGAGTCAGGAAGGAATGTGAAGCCCCAAAGGGAGCAGGGAGCCCGGAGGGGAAGGGGAGCGTGATGGAAGCAGGGAGCCCCAGGAGGAGTGGGGAGCCCAGTAGGTGCTGTTGGAGCTCCTCAGCTCCCTGTTTCTCCTGCAGGAGGTGGAAGCTCTGGTGTCCCACTGGAACCTCTACATCAACCTGGGAGGTTTCTTCGTCAGCCTCTTCTCCGTGACTCTCCTCGGCACATGGAGCGACAGCGTGGGCCGGCGCCCGGCGCTCATCCTGCCCACAGCAGGCATGGCCCTGCAGACAGGCATCTACCTGCTGGTCATGTACCTGGAGCTGCACGTCGCCTTCTTCCTCCTGGGACGCATCCTGAGCGGCCTCACGGGCGACTACAACCTGATCCTGGCCAGCTGCTTCTCCTACGTGGCCGACACCAGCGAGCGGCGCGCGCGGACGTTCCGCGTGGCCATCCTGGAGGCGTGCCTGGGCACCGCGGGCATGGTGGCCAGCATTGGCGGTGGCCAGTGGCGCAAGGCCCAGGGCTACATCAACCCCTTCTGGCTGGCCTTTGCTGCCAGCCTTGCTGCCACCCTCTACGCCGCTTTCTTCCTGCGGGAGTCGGTGAAGCAGAAGAAGGCGGCCAAGCTGTTCACACTCAAGCACTACAAGGCTGTGTTCAGGCTGTACACGGCCCCCGAGCACCAGAGCTCCAGGTGGAAGCTGGCTCTGTACTCCCTGGCTTTCTTTCTGATTGTCACGGTGCATTTTGGAGCCAAGGACATCTATGTGTTGTACGAGCTGGGCTTCCCTCTGTGCTGGGCTTCTGATCTCATCGGGTATGGCTCGGCCGCCAGCTACCTGGCTTACCTGAGCAGCCTGGTGGGGCTGAGGCTGCTGCAGCTCTGCCTTGAGGACACCTGGGTGGCAGAGATAGGATTGATCTCCAACATTGCTGGGCTGGTGGTGATGTCTCTCGCTACCACAACGGCACTGATGTTTACAGGTGATGCTGGAGGCTTAAATCCCTGTTTCTGGTAGTGTGCTTCTCAGGGAGTTCAGGCAAGTGAGGGAGTTCTGCCTCGTGCACCAACAAAACTGTGCCTTTCTAAGGGCAGTGTTGGCCAAACACTGAATTTGGAAGCGCATCCATGTAGTTCCTAGAACATTAGGCTTCCCAGAACTGCAGACACAGACTGAAGTGCCTTATGAGATCCAGGAGGGTGAATTGTGTTTAAATATAGCAGGGAGACACTGCCAGCAGCTGCAGATTTCTGGGGCTGACTTGGGAGGCTTTACTTTTCAGGTGAGCTTTCCCTAATGTGTTGTGTC